GAATAGGGCTTTTAAGTTCATAATTATGTTTAATATACTCATATCTTGACAAAAAGCTGCAAAAACCAAGTTCTATACAAGATTTGATGACCCTCACGAATTCCTTCATAATTGATAGCAGGTTCGCCCGTGACCGAATGTACATATTTTTAAACCCACCATCAAAAAAGATGGGAGGTATATTGATTTTGTCATTCCGTCATATCGAAATAATGGTCATAGACCCATAAAAGTATATTTATTCTGAGTCCTTTTTAAATTCTAAGACGATCTAGCCATGTCTGTCCGTCACGTTTGAGTCCGAACGGAAATAGCTAGTGGATTGCTAGTGTTGCGTGGGTTTTTCGAAATAAAAATATATATTTTTTGGCTTTGAAGTTTAATTTATCTAAAGATCGATTTTTGACCATTTTTTAATGACGCAATAATGTGACATCTAATCAATATCCAATATAATCGAGAATAGATCAGTATGCAAAATTTCATACAAATCTGTCACACACAAGCATTCTCTAATATATTTATACCCATATAGGATAATGAAACTCTATTCCACGTACTTTCATAGCAAACTTTTATTAGTCATCAAACATATTTTAGAAATTTGATACTTGATTTGACAGCAATGACAGAAAGTGGTTTAAGAAAAAATGCGCTCGCTATAAAGGGTTTTACTATGTGTAAATAACATTAATATTAAGTGATAATCCAAACCATCATGGGTTATTTTAAAGAAAGTTGTTTTTCAAGCAATTGCAAAAAAAAAAATCTTAAACTATTAATAAAACAATTTGAAAAATGGCAACAGCAGGAGAAAAAAATTGTTATTAAACTTATTAGAAACAAATCTAAATTCATGCATTACGACATTACAAAAGAGTTGGGTAAGTAATAACGAGTAAATAATGTATTTATTTTATATTGCACTTTGCTTACAATTACTTTTTTTGTATTAAAAGTGGCCTTGAGTAACTTACTCGTACATACATATATGTATATATTTTTTGTATTTTTTATATGCATTTATATTAGATGTTTGTATTTACATGCAGCATAGTTTACTAAACCAGAACAGGTGATTAAGAGCACTCAAATCCAAATCAACATACTCATACCTCCATTCTAGCTAAATGTTCGATTATAAAATCCAATAAAATTGTAGAAAAAAAAAACAATGAAACAAATGAGTGCATTAAACATTAAACACGTATTAATACTTAGATATATACATATGTACATATCAAGATACAAAGTATGTAATTTAAATGTTTGTGTAGATATTTGTTTACACATTTTGTAAATACATATTTATGTATATGTAGATAGTTACCCAGCAAAACATTTATTAATGACTTGTACTTACACAACAACTTACTTTACGATGACTAATACATGCAATATGTATTACTTTAAGTAATATAACAATGAGTTACATTTGTATAATCATAGTTTATAGTCTAGTCTATACCCTGTAGGATTTTGTGAGTTAACTAAAAATCAAGTTAACTTTTTGATAACTTCTTATGACTAGCTTCAAAGTAACTAAAAAATGATCGAGGAAATGAACAAACATTTCAATAAAATTTTAAATAAAAAATAAAATAGAAACTCGTATCAAATTTGTCAAACAATTTGTATTGAAAAAATGAAATTATGAAAATGAAATTTTGTTTCAGCAATGAAAAATGAATTTATTATTATTAAATTAACATTTTCAGGAATATAAGACATAGATAATGGTGTATATAGGAAGGAAATGTTGCTGCATATTGAACGCATTTATAATCACTAACAATTTGTTAAAAATAGTATAAAAATATAAGAAAATTGCACAGGTAACTCACAGCTGATCTTTTATTTATGCATTAGAAGCTAACTCATCTTGAGGTAACTTCTGGTTAACTGAAACTGATGTATAGTGAGTGAGTACTGACTCGTTCCTATGACATCACATTGAAAAACTGAATAGTATTTTATAAGCAAAATGGTTAGCTTTTGAGTCCCCTCTGACTCATTTGTGGTTAACCATAAGTTAGTTTTAAGTTAACTCAAAATCCTACTGGGTAACCTAGTCTATAGTCTAATCTATAGTCTTGTCTATATTCTAGTCTATAGTCTAGTCTATAGTCTAGTCTATAGTCTAGTCTATAGTCTAGTCTATAGTCTAGTCTATAGTCTAGTCTATAGTCTAGTCTATAGTCTAGTCTATAGTCTAGTCTATAGTCTAGTCTATAGTCTAGTCTATAGTCTAGTCTACAGTCTAGTCTATAGTCTAGCCTATAGTCTAGTCTATAGTCTAGCCTAAAGTCTAGTCTATAGTCTAGTCTATAGTCTAGTCTATAGTCTAGTCTATAGTCTAGTCTATAGTCTAGTCTATAGTCTAGTCTATAGTCTAGTCTATAGTCTAGTCTATAGTCTAGTCTATAGTCTAGTCTATAGTCTAGTCTATAGTCTAGTCTATAGTCTAGTCTATAGTCTAGTCTATAGTCTAGTCTAGTTTATAGTCTAGTCTATAGTCTAGTTTATAGTCTAGTATATAGTCTAGTTTATAGTCTAGTTTATAGTCTAGTCTATAGTCTAGTCAATAGTCTAGTTTATAGTCTAGTTTATAGTCTAGTATATAGTCTAGTTTATAGTCTAGTTTATAGTCTAGTCTATAGTCTAGTCAATAGTCTAGTTTATAGTCTAGTTTATAGTCTAGTTTATAGTCTAGTATATAGTCTAGTTTATAGTCTAGTCTATAGTCTAGTTTATAGTCTAGTTTATAGTCTAGTCTATAGTCTAGTCAATAGTCTAGTTTATAGTCTAGTTTATAGTCTAGTCTATAGTCTAGTCAATAGTCTAGTTTATAGTCTAGTATATAGTCTAGTTTATAGTCTAGTCTATAGTCCAGTCTATAGTCTAGTCAATAGTCTAGTTTATAGTCTAGTCTATAGCCTAGTATATAGTCTAGTTTATAGTCTAGTTTATAGTCTATTCTATAGTCTAGTCTATAGTCCAGTCTATAGTCTAGTCTATAGTCTAGTCTATAGTCTAGTCTATAGTCCAGTCTATAGTCTAGTCTATAGTCTAGACTATAGTCTAGTCTATAGTCTAGTCTATAGTCTAGTCTATAGTCCAGTCTATAGTCTAGTCTATAGTCTAGTCTATAGTCTAGTCTATAGTCTAGTCTATAGTCTAGTCTATAGTCTAGACTATAGTCTAGTCTATAGTCTAGTCTATAGTCTAGTCTATAGTCTAGTCTATAGTCTAGTCTATAGTCTAGTCTATAGTCTAGTCTATAGTCTAGTCTATAGTCTAGACTATAGTCTAGTCTATAGTCTAGTCTATAGTCTAGTCTATAGTCTAGTCTATAGTCTAGTCTATAGTCTAGTCTATAGTCTAGTCTATAGTCTAGCCTATAGTCTAGTCTATAGTCTAGCCTATAGTCTAGTCTATAGTCTAGTCTATAGTGTAGTCTATAGTCTAGTTTATAGTCTAGTATATAGTCTAGTTTATAGTCTAGTATATAGTCTAGTTTATAGTCTAGTTTATAGTCTAGTCTATAGTCTAGTCAATAGTCTAGTTTATAGTCTAGTTTATAGTCTAGTATATAGTCTAGTTTATAGTCTAGTATATAGTCTAGTTTATAGTCTAGTTTATAGTCTAGTCTATAGTCTAGTCAATAGTCTAGTTTATAGTCTAGTTTATAGTCTAGTCTATAGCCTAGTATATAGTCTAGTTATAGTCTAGTCTATAGTCTAGTCTATAGTCTAGTCTATAGTCTAGTCTATAGTCTAGTCTATAGTCTAGTCTATAGTCTAGTCTATAGTCTAGTCTATAGTCTAGTCTATAGTCTAGTCTATAGTCTAGTCTATAGTCTAGTCTATAGTCTAGTCTATAGTCTAGTCTATAGTCTAGTCTATAGTCTAGTCTATAGTCTAGTCTATAGTCTAGCTATAGTCTAGTCTATAGTCTAGTCTAGTCTAGTATAGTCTAGTCTATAGTCTAGTCTATAGTCTAGTCTATAGTCTAGTCTATAGTCTAGTCTATAGTCTAGTCTAGTCTATAGTCTAGTCTATAGTCTAGTCTATAGTCTAGTCTATAGTCTAGTCTATAGTCTAGTCTATAGTCTAGTCTATAGTCTAGTCTATAGTCTAGTCTATAGTCTAGTCTATAGTCTAGTCTATAGTCTAGTCTATAGTCTAGTCTATAGTCTAGTCTATAGTCTAGTCTATAGTCTAGTCTAGTCTATAGTCTAGTCTATAGTCTAGTCTATAGTCTAGTCTATAGTCTAGTCTATAGTCTAGTCTATAGTCTAGTCTATAGTCTAGTCTAGTCTATAGTCTAGTCTATAGTCTAGTCTATAGTCTAGTCTATAGTCTAGTCTATAGTCTAGTCTATAGTCTAGTCTATAGTCTAGTCTATAGTCTAGTCTATAGTCTAGTCTATAGTCTAGTCTATAGTCTAGTCTATAGTCTAGTCTATAGTCTAGTCTATAGTCTAGTCTATAGTCTAGTCTATAGTCTAGTCTATAGTCTAGTCTATAGTCTAGTCTATAGTCTAGTCTATAGTCTAGTCTATAGTCTAGTCTATAGTCTAGTCTATAGTCTAGTCTATAGTCTAGTCTATAGTCTAGTCTATAGTCTAGTCTATAGTCTAGTCTATAGTCTAGTCTATAGTCTAGTCTATAGTCTAGTCTATAGTCTAGTCTATAGTCTAGTCTATAGTCTAGTCTATAGTCTAGTCTATAGTCTAGTCTATAGTCTAGTCTATAGTCTAGTCTATAGTCTAGTCTATAGTCTAGTCTATAGTGTATTCTATAGTCTGGCCTATAGTCTAGTGGAAAATAAATTTAATACTTTATGTAGATTATTTACCTTTATTTTTGTTGTCTGCTTATTTCACAGCTAAAACACAACAATTACATTTTTCTCACATTTTGTTTACATACAATTTCTTCTTCAAATAATTATAATAAGGTAATAACAATAACATATTAATGATTTACTAATATATACCTCTTACACTCCCACTCAACAACACTCTATTTCGTGTTTGGCTGCTTACGAATGGCCCTGGAAACCAAAAAACAACGATAGCCTTCTAACAATTGCCTTAACAAAATTGACAAATTGCACATTTTTATTAAATTTTCTAACACTTTTTTCACCAATTTCTAAAACTTTTTTCATAAATATTTTTATATACCAATATAAATTAATATTTGTTTAATATTATACAACAAAAATAATTTATTATTAACAATTAATTAACGTTTTAGCTTAATTTAAACAGTAAACAACCGAACACTTTAGAAATATTAAGGAAACTAATGAAATGGAACAATAACAAAAACCATCCATCACTTATTGCAGTTGTTGTTATTGTTATAAGATATTTGCTCTTTAAATAATAACAACAACAATGTCAATTTCTATTACCATTTGTTTCTTTAGTTATTTGTCTTCTTCTTTAGTTGCTTAAAATTTCTAAAGTGTTCGGTTGTTTAGCGTCAATAGTCCTGTTCAAATTAATATAAAGCGTTAATTAATTGTTAATATTTAAATATTTTTGTTGAAAATTGTTTATAAATACTGTTTATAAAAAAGTGTTCAATTATTAATATGAAAAAGTGTTTTAAAATTTGCCAAAAACTCAGTGCAATTTTCTTAGGACGAGCGCTGTTTTTTTTTGTCAGGCCATTCGTTTTGTTAAGTGATGAGAAAGCGTTAATCAAAGGGGATAGTGAGAGAGTTGGAAAGAAAAAAAATTGTTTGCAAAAAGTCTGTGGAGAAAAGGTGTGAAAAATAATGAAAAAAGCTAAAAAAAAAGAGTTGGAGGGTATGTATGTAAATACATATGTATGTAAGTGTTGCAAAATGGATATATTGTTTTTGTTTGCAATGAAGTACAGTCGGGAGAATATCGTTATTTGAACAACAAAATATAAAGGTGAGTGATTTGAAATAACTAGCACAATTTGTTTTTGTTTCTTTAAAATTTTCTTTGTTATATTAAATTTGACTATAAAAATTCTATGTTTATCTAGACTATGGAAAAGTCCATATTCTTCACTATAGAGCAGCCTATAGTAGTGACTATAGAGCAGTGTTAATTCTTGATAGTCTATTGTTTTGACTATTTCTTGTCTATAGAATAGTCTATAGTACTAATTATTGCACAGTTTATAGTCTTGACTAGAGAACAGTCCACAGTATTGACTATAGAAAAGTCTACAATCTTGACTATAGAAAAATACCATTGACCATATAAAAGTCTGTAGTCTTGACTTTAGAACAGTCTATAGTATTCTATAGTCAGTCTATGGTCTAGTCTATAGGCTAGTCTATAGTCTGGCCCAGTGTTGTCAACTATTTTATACCAAAAAGTGACGTCCATTCACTCAAAACGCGCTAAAATTATATTCAAATACAAAGCCAATGAAAAAAAATATAATATGTATTTACCTAAACATTTTTTATTAAAAAAATACTCCATAACACTGGGATTAGTGAACATTTTTTACTTTTTAATTTTAGTTTTTGCTGGGTGGGTATTGTCATATGGATGTGTAAACAACAATACAGACTTTTAAAGGAATTAGCTAATAATATGTATAGCCGGATCTGCAAACCAAGTATCTTAAATACATATATAGCGTCACATATAATGCGTATTTATCAATTTGAATAAAATAAGTTTAATTATGAAAAATAAATAAAAGCTGTAGAAAAAAGCGAAGTTTTTTAAAAGAAAAACAAAAAATTTACGCTTAAAAAGCGTCGCATGTAACTTGAAGCGTAGAACGAGAAGTAGGTATGAAAAGCGCATAATGCTTTGACGCAAAGACGCGTAGTATGGACCTCCGGCTTAAGATTTTGTTGGAAGCATCTTAAGGGCCCTTCAGACGATCACACTTTACGTGCGACAAGTCTAATGAAAAAGTAAAATGAAATTCCATCCGTATGACAAAAAAGAGAATAAAAGTAGTACGATTTATATTTTTTGTGTTTACACGATTGGTATAAAACAATAACAAAGCAAGAGGAAACCGTTGTTTCACTTTTTTTGTATGTGTTTACATAAAAATGCATCCCTGATCTAATGCGACTTGTTTGCTTTTGAATCATTTCAAAAAATGAAGAGAGCCATACGACTGTTAAATTTTCAATCCGTATTTTCTTTCAATGGGTGATGATTTCGTTACATATTGCATTTAGACGATCCCATCCGTTTCCTTCTAAACAAAATTTTGACAGATCATATTACTTGTGTGCTCGTGTGAAGGGTGCTTTAGAATCATTGTGTATTCCAAGAAATATTTCCCTTAGGATTAATGATTTAAAAGAGATGATTTGTTTAATAGCTCAAAAAAGCATTGTGTATGTTAAAAACTGTTAATTCATACTTTTAAATGTATGACCGAAAATCTAGTTTGAAAAATAATAACATTTATTATTACTTATCTATAAGAATCCATCCCTGTAGCCAAAAATATATTTCATAGATATTTCTCAACTTACCAATCAGTTAAAATCTCTAAACTTGTATTTTATTTCCAATTGGTATAAACGATTGCGCAAAATTGTCTTTAATAGTTTTTAGTATTAATTCTCTTCAGCATTTTTCAAACTATTGTTTATAGCAATAATAATTTTATTGTAAAATCAATGTACATTTGTTTTGTTGGTTTCCTTTAAATTTAGTTTTACAGCATGCAACATTCTACGTTTAAATATTGCATGCTCCTGTTACAAATTGTCTGCTGCCTGGTATTCAATATTTTTCTAAGAACATTCAACTTTTATGTTCGCTTGTGTTTGTTGTTCGTTTGTAGTTTAAATACAGTTTTCAATTGTTACAAAATATTAAATCAATATTTATAAGCGGTTTAAGAAAAACTTTACAGAAAAATATTGTTAAAAGTGTGTAGATTAATCTAATTATAGGTTTTTAACTTTTTCTTGTAATATTTCTAGTGGTTAATTGTTAAGGTCAGTCAGTAGGTGTATTTGCCATGAGTGGTGGTGGGAAAGTGGCAGGGAAATCGTTTCCAATATTTTGTTTTTTTTTTCAAATAGTTATAGTTTTTAAACTATTACCGTTACTTATGACTTCTGGAATATTGCCAAAAATAGCAATTATATAGGAAAACAAATACATAGATTTTAATTCGATTTGAAATTGACCTTTGACCCAGTATTTAATCCAGGGTGTAGTGTTTTGAAATTAGACCTTATAACAATTAATGAGCAACTGATTCCATTAAGGTCTTCTCTCTGTTCTTCCATGGAAATCTTATTATCAAACTTCAAATCAAATTTTCAAAATAATTCGGTGCCAAATATCATACTAATATCTATGGGCGTGGCACATTACAAACTTCCAGCTATATTATTAATTTCAAAATATATATTGCTTACCGATTAATTAAAAATTTCCCAACACTTGCCTCAAGTATACTACATATCCCTTATGAGTACAGTAAATTACGTAGTTCTTTTAAAAAATCATCTTTTAAATATTATCGTTATTCTATTTGAGTTTCTACATACATATAAGTGGTTTGTACAGTAAAAAAACGGTATATTTTAGTTATTGCTACAAGTACATACACGATTTTTCATCATAATTGTGGCGCATATGGAAGAAGCCATAAAATATAAATTTACCAATAGTACCTTTAAGTATTTATATATGCTTCCGTCAACATACATAATTGTTAACAATTCTTAACTTATTTTTATACCCTCCAAAACCATCAGTGATGATAGAGATTATATATAAGTTACGTATGTAACACCAAGAAATATTCATCTGAGACCCAACAAAGTATTATGACACTCTGAGTCGATTTAGCTATGTCCGTTTGTCTGTCTAAAACACGTTAAAACTAACTAATAGAAATCTACGAAATTCTTTAAATATGCTTATTATTGTTCTAAGCCGTTTGGTATTGAAAATCTGGAATATCGGCCCACAACATTAAAAGTTATGAGTAAAAATTTTAGACTACCTCACCCGGGCATGAATTCTGTTCACTGAAAAAATAAAAACTGCCTCAAATACATATATCGTTATAAAGTTATGAACATATAAACAGAAATCATATTAACAACGTGGATCTGTATCGGTCCATAATTGATTGTAACTCTCATATAAGGTCCACTTTCGAAAATAACTTAAACGCATATATGTTTGTTTGGACTTTATAGACAGCTAAACGGTTGAACCGATTTTTCTGAAATTCTACTATTGTAATTAGACTATTATAGTTAGAATCTTCAAAATCGTAAAATGTTTTTATTTTTTTTATATACATTGATTTTGGGATAGCAAAGCACACTGGGTATAGCTAGTTTTTATATCGGTCTATTATTGGTCATATGTTGCTTCCATATAAAGTTCGCTTCAGAAAATTACATAAACTTTAATATTCCAATGACAGTTAAATCTATCGGGATAAAATTCAAATTGAATAGGTTTTATGCATATATGTTTGTGTATATATCATTCCTCAATATGTTTCGGTCCAAATCACATAGTTGATAACTAATAAGGATGTCGGGATAAAATTTGACTTTAGTATGTTTTGAGTGTATGTAAATTATCTACCAAATCGGTTGTGAATTAGCCCATTATTAGTCATGGCTCAACGTTCGAAAATCATGAACGAATATAATCCATATAAATAAAACTGCAATGATTGTTCGTTATCGAAAAAACTCAGAAACTACCGCACCAAATGGGACGTATTTTCAAACATATGTCTGCCGAAGTTTGCTGAAGTGAAGATTTTGAAACTATAGGTGTTCACAGGTCCTCAATAAAATTTGGAGCCGGTAGAGCAGGCCGCGGTCAGCTAGTACGCCATCATAGTGAAATTCGTCGGGAATAAGTTTTGTATACTTATATACAAATCATTCTCTGAAATTGGTTCGTATCGGCAAGATGGTCTACTAATTGATCAAAGCTTAGTTCTATATATTGTATGTACATACATATGCATAAAGAAATTACTAAATTATTACGGAAAATTTAGATATTTATATAGAAAATAGTTCACAGATGGAGGGTATTTATGATTCGGCATAGCCGATTGTAGCATTCCAACTTGTGTTTCTTTAAAACCTCTTGCAAAACTAGAAAACAAGTAAGAAAATATCGACGGTGTGGGCAACTATATAATACCCAATAACTGATCAATTATTATAAACATATTGATATCAAATTTAATTACAGAATCTATATTAATTCTAAATCTATGGCGATTAGACAGGTTTTTAGGAAAGGACCACTATTTGGCTTGAGACTTAAGTGAAGGAATATTTTTCTTAATTACTGTTATGAATATAATACACAAATTTCGTGGAGGATCTAGTATTGGGTATAGGATCAAATGTTGTCTAACGATGATAACATATTTATGATTGTTAAATTGATATTCGGAGGGGACAGTTATAAAATAAAAGTTCATAATCCAAAAAACCTAATTTATATTAAGCTAATGTCTCTCAGCGACACTTATCGTTTTATAATTGCATATGTTTATATGTACAAGATCTGATCTCAGATAATAAATGTTTGTTTTTTATAAAAAAAAGTCTTTTGTTTATGTTTTGTTGGTAGTATTTCTATAATTTATTTGGGTTACAAGTAGCAGCTATCAATCAATGTGGCTAACAAGCGTAAAAAACGCAACAAATTGTAATACAGAGTAGACACCCAACTATAAAACAACGATGACCTTCGTCAATACGTTTTTTTCTCTGTACTTTCAATTTCTAACATTTAACAATTATTCAATTGCATAATGCCAATATAGTCGTGTAAAATAAATAGTGTATCAAAAAAAAAAAAAAAAAAAAAAAAAAATCAAACAGAGAAATGTATCAATAACAAATTAATAATAATAATGAAATAATCTAAATATATTTAAAATGTGCAGATAT